AAGAGCGGCCGCGGTGGCGCTGCCCAGCGGGCGCGTCCTGGCCCCGGGCTCGGCTCCCACACTCTGCCTGTGGTACACCGACGGCCAGACGGCGCGCGCGTGCTGGTAGCGAACGCCGCTCTCCGCTCCCCTCAGCCACTGGAGGAAACGGCCTGGGGAGAGGGAAAGTGGTTTGTGCGTCGGCACGAGGAGGGCGGCGGACTCGTGCCCGGGAGCCCCCGACCTGCTCGGCCGGCCGCAGGGCTGCTCACACAGTGCTCGGCAAGGGGAGGCGGCGGGCGGGCGCCCCGAAGCGGAGGCAGCAGAAGTGAGTGCGGGGGGGCCGGCGGGCACCGAGACAGACACAGCGGGGCTCAGCGAGAGCCGCGGGGAGCCGCGAGGAGCGCGGAGGAGCGCGGTCGCGCCGCGAGCTTTCCCGCCTTGGCTTTCGCTTGGGCAGCCTCTGCTGGCCCGAACCTGACAAGGCGGGAGCCGCGAGGGGCGCAAGCCGCAGTCAGTTAAGAGCTCGGGAGAAACCTGCCCCGTCAGGAACTTGCCACAGAAGGCGCATGCGCCGACGCCAGTCTGAGCGCCCGCTGGCTGCGGCGCGCTGCCCGCGAGGGCACGCTCGGTCCTCGCTGGGCGCAGTGCCCTTGGCGGGAAATGGGGCGAGTGTGCAGTACGCTGCTGTGAAGCGAGGGCGGCGCCGCCGCTCGGAACGTCAGGTCAGTCACAGGAGCGCCTGGCTTTTGCGCCTCAAGAGGAGACACTGAGAGACAGAGCCACGTCCGGCAACGGGGAAACAGGCCGAACCTGCGACGGTCAGCAGGGGCGTGTGGGGAACGCTTCACGCGTCAAGCCACCATGGCTTGGGGGCAAGTGACAAAGGACCTGCTGTTACTCAGATGGAGGAGGGATTGCAAGGGAACTTCCAGGCCGGCGGCCGCGGGGGCTGCCGTGGCGGCGAGCGGCGCGGCCCAGCGGAGAGAAGCTTAGTAGGCGGGAAGTCGCCAGGTGGGTCGCAGGGTGTCAGGCTGAGGAATCAGTTACTCGCTCACGGGCCCGGGCACCATCCTGGGCATCGTCTGTGTTCGCCAAACGTGTGTCTGTGAAGTAATGATCGTCAGAGGCTAGTCAGGTCCAATCTTGGGCAGCCACTTTGACTGGGTAAACACTTGAGGCAAAGTGTCGTGTGCGTGTGTGTGTGTGTGTGTGTGTGTGTGTGTGTCTGTGTCTCAGGGTAGCTCATTTTGGAAAAGTGACCGTACCCTCATTGTTAAACAAAATAAGGTACACGGATAAACTGAGTTCCAGAAGAGGGAAGTTCCTGTCAGTTAAGGTAGTTAATGAAGGCATCTTGGAGATGGAGGAGGAAGAATTAAGCTTTGGAAAAAAGAACATTTCGGTGGAGAGCCAGGGAAAAGGGAGCAGCCGCGGTAATGCGCATAATGCTTTGGGGAGTGACCGGCTGGCTTGAAGAGTGCTTGAAGTAGTTAAAATTGAAGCCTAAGCAGGGAAGAGTTGAAAATTCAAGAATTTTCTATTTTGTCCTAGGGCCAGTAAGGAGTTGTTAGCAGTTTTAAGAACCTTCTTTGAAGACTTTGAGACTTTAAATTATTCGTTCCTGATGATATAAATGCTTGGGATACACCTAGTTAGTGCGACACATTAGTAATGACTCTCTAGTCATGATGAGTTTGAAAAGTTTTGAAAAAAGTAAAGGAACTAGATTGGTAGGAGAGGGAAGAAAATTACTGGTGGTTTTGCTAAGAATCGCAAAAGTACAGTAATTGTTTCAGTGCTTCCTTTTTTTTAAAGATTTGTTTATTTATGCTAACAGAACTGGGGTACAGGCCAGAGGTATGGTGGGTGAGGGGATTCCCCAGAGACAGAGTGGGGAGCAGGACAGGCAGATCTATGGAAACACTGCTGAGGGGGGCAGCGTCTGCCACGCCATGTGGGTGGGCCCCCCGGGTGATCGAACCCAGTGCCGTGGCTTCGGAGAGCTTCATTTTGCCCTGCTTTAACCTGTCGCGCCACCAGGGAGAGCCCAAGTGCTTCCTTTTAATAACGCTTGGTCCCAGTCAGTTATCTCAGGATGTGATTAGATTCTTGGCTTCCAGATCCTGCCAACAATCCAGAAATAAAGTCCTCCATGATGGGGAAGCGGTAACCAATGGGGAAAATCAAGAATCACTCTGGCCGTTGTATGGAGGCAGGGAGGGGTGACGGTTGTATGAGTGTGCACAGAAGTGAGGAGGAAAGTGGCTTAGGCTGCTGAGGCAGCTGATGGCTTTCACTGACCTTTTTGCTACTTCTGTAGACACGAGGTGTGCTTCTGTCTCCGGACCTTCTCTAGAAAGCAATGACTTTCTCCCTCTGGGATATTTTTCTTCAAGATAGTCTTATGGCTGTCTCCTTCACTTCTCTAGTCGTTGTTCAAATGTCATCTTCCTATGATCTACCCAGACCATCTGCTACAAAAATTGTTCCCCCAATCTCTTCTCTCATTTTTTTCTCCATATTTTTTCAACTTGTTTACATACTATATACTTGGTATATTTTTCTTTCCTATCTATTTCCCGTAGGGGCTGTGTTATGTTTCTTTGCTGTTTCCATCACTGCTGTCGCCCACACCTAGATTAGTATCTGGCACGTGGTAGGTGTCCTGTACACATTTATTCAGTGACTCAATGAATCGATGAGGGAAACTATCCTTTGACTCACTCTCAATATTCCTATGTAATTCCCTTACATCACAGATTGTTTTTAGGAAATATGCCATACCTTAGAGCAAATTATTCCTCTGCAAGGTTTTGTTGGTGTTCTTTTGGCATAGTTGTCTTAATTTTTATGGAAGGAAGACTGATTCTGCTATATGATTTTCTCCACACTTCATCTTCCTTTTTAAACAGCAATTTACTAAATCTTCCATTCGCATACAACTGGAATAAGGGCTACTAAATAGATGCATTTTCTGCAGTGTTTGTGGGACTCCAATATTAAATAATTTTAACACATTAATCTCAAATTATGACATTTCTAAGGAAGAAATTAACCTGTGAAAGACTATGGTGGGGAACTTAATTTGCATTGGAGTTCATAGAAAACCTCTGCAAGCAACTCTTGAGATGAGACTTAAAAATTGAAAAGAATTCAGCTTTCTAGGAACTATATAATAAGTACACATTTCAAAAGTATAAAGATATAAATAAAATTGCAGATTATTAACATGTTAGGAAGCATTTTAGGGAAAGAAAACACCATGAACATACGTTCTAGGTTGAGAAGAGTTTGAACTATTTGGGACACGAAAAAGATTACATGCTGGAATCCTTTAGTAATGAAATCATTTACACAGATGGTTAGATGAATAGGCTGTTAAGCTTGTTTACTGCAGCGTTGTTTGCAGAAACTAAACATTAAGGGAAACAAAATCTGTAACAATCTACATTTTAGTCATAAGGGCAATTGCCATGGAAGTGATTTTTTAAGAAAGATTTATTTATTTATGCTTTCAGAACTGGGGCACGGGCCAGATGTGCGGGGCGGTGAGAGGATTCACCAGAGACAGAGTGGGGAGAGGAACAGGACAACTGATGAAGTCCACTGCTGAGGGGAGCAGCGGCAGGTCAGGAGATGTCTAGGGCGCCATGTGGGTCACCTCCGGGGAAGGCGGGGATCGAACTCATGCTGAACTGGCTTGAGCTTCTTAGTACTGTGCTTTAACCCGCTGCGCCACCAGGGAGGGCCCCAGATAAATGATTTTATGTGGAGTATTACACAGGTATTAAAATGGGTTAGAAGTATTTCTGTTAAAATGGAGGAATAGCCATGAAATGGGTGAAAGGGCAATATGGACAGAAATACATGCTCCAATTTTAAAAACTCTACCTCCATAACAACCCTCATCAAGGTTAAAAAGATGAGATTCTAACAAAAGGGAAAAATTAATATGGAGCAGTATAGAATATAAAACACTAGCTGTTGAATTACTACAAATATGTGAAATTGAATATGCATATAGATAAGGACTTAAAGTAATGCCAAGAAATAAAACATTGTTTTGACTAGATAATCAGATTACAGAAAACTTTTTTCTTTAGATTTCAATTATTTTAATATTATTTTTGTGATGAAGTGACAATAAAAAATCTTAGAGATTTTGGGCCCTCCCTGGTATCACAGCGGGTTAAAGCGCAGCACTAAGAAGCTAAAGCCACTTCCGCATGAGTTCGATTCCTGCCTGCCCCGGAGGTGACCACATGGCGTGGCAGATCAACAAGGTACACTGCTGAGGGGAGCAGTGGGCGGGCCGGGAGAGGTCTGCCAGGCCACCTGGATCACTTCCCAGGCCAGGGATCAAACTTTCACTGAAGCAGCTGTGGCTCGCTTGCAGTGCTGCATCCTAACCTGCTGCACCACCAGGGAAAGCCCAAATTTTGATACCCTTTTACCCTAATCTCTGTTGAGTTGATTTTTCAGATGCAAGTACAGTATACTTATACGTGTTTCTATTAATGTTTACATTACTAAATAAAACTCACTCTGAAGTTTTAAGATCTTAATTAGGTCTTCAGTTTGTCATCCATCTCTCGTAACTTTGGAGCATTCATTCACCAAATATTGAGTGTATCTTCTAGGCGTTGTCTCAGGTACCAGAGATGTGTTGGAGTGAATGAGACAGATTTTGGAGTTTGATGAATGTTAAATCTATGACGTGATAACATTTGAACAGATATATGAAGGGTATGGTTATGTGATTATCTGTGGGAAGAACATTCCAGAGAAAAGGAACAACTATTGCAAATGATCTGAATTGGGAAAGTCCTCAACATAGTAGCATAGTGTGCAGACACTAATATGGCGCCCACTGATTCCCTGCCTCTTGGTCATCACATTCTTGCATAGTCCTTTCCCCTTAGTGTTGGCAAGATTTGTTATTAGTAAAACACAGGAAAGTTGATGCAGAGTCATTTCAGTATTTTAGTTACAAAAGACCGTGACTTCCTCTCACATAGAGGAAATCTTATAAAAGCCTATAGAGAGACTGAGTGTAGCCTCTGGCCAATGGTTAGCTGAGAACTGAGGCCTTCAGAAGAACAGCCCTTAAGAAATTCAATTATGGCCCTCCCTAGTGGCACAGCGGGTTAAAGCACTGCACTGAGAAACTAAAGCCACTTCTGCATGAGTTCGATCCCTGCCTGCCCCGGAGGTGACCCCAGGGCGCGGCAGACCTCTCCTGGCCAATCCCTGCCTGCCCCAGAGGTGACCCCAGGGTGCGGCAGACCTCTCCTGGCCCGCCCGCTGCTCCCCTCAGCAGTGTACTTCATAGATCTGCTGTTCTGCTCCCCACTCTGTCTCTGGTGAAGCCTCTCTCACAGCCCCTGAGCCTCTGGCTTGTACCCCAGTTCTGTATGTACAAATAAAATGAAATCTTTAAAAAAAATCTTTAAAAAAAAAAAAGTATAACAATGACCATGTCAAATTATAAGCAGATCCTTACCTGGTTGGGCCTTGAGTCAACACATTGTGAGAGGATCTGAAGGTGAGGGCTCAACCAAGCTCTCCTTGCACTCTTGATCCACAGAAGCCGTGAGATAATATTTTAGGTCACTAAGGTTGTGAAATTTGTTATGTACCTGTAGGTAAGAAACACGTCGGTGATAAATATTTTCACTATATTTTCTTTCAAGACATTAATGAGTGTTTTACACAACAGTGCTGAGAGAATGCTGATTTACTCCATTAGAATTCATTCCTAAATTGATAATGATTAATTATTTGGCACTTCCTTAGACTTATTTGTGCAAGGAGATTTCTTAATTGTGCTTCTACTTGGCTATGTAGCCTTACTTTTATATCATGGACTTTCTTAACAAGTGCTTTGTCAAAATACTATATATGCCAAGTCTAATAATTCTGTTAAAATGAGTATGGGGTTAGTCTAGTGTGATTTGTTTTTATAAACCCAGACTGACTTGGTAATCATTTTTATCTGATCATTTAAAGACACATCTTTTGTATCGTTCTGGAATCTTATCTGGGATCAATGCTAAGATCTTTGACCTATGGTTTGCAG